CATTCGCCTCCTATTCTTTTATAGAGGAAGGAATCAGAAGAGCACTAAGCAATTTTATTGGAATAGACTAAACACTGCATGAAAATTCCACGGCATGAGCAGTTTACCACGATTTAATGTTGAAGATCGTCCCAAATCTCCTCAAAGCCATCGCAATAACTACCGGCATTGAAAACGGCGATTGACTTATATGGCATATTGGCTTCCTTAAGGAATTTCTACAAAGTAAAGGAAAGGACATTTTAAAATCCTTCCCTCAGTAGTTTGGCTAAAGCGCTTCCCTAACGTCGGTGTACATCAAATTCTGCATTTATTCCAAGGAGCCGAAACTTCGGTACTTACATCAGCCTGGGTCCACACACTGCCTCTTTCATTATCGTTGGCACCGGGACCGATGTAGATGAACAGTTCGTGGAGAGTATCCACAAAGGTAATGTCGTTAGGATTGATGCCACTGCGATAAACCTTGTCGGTGTACACGTGACTCAACGCGAGTCTCTTTGAGTCGTCTGAGAGTCTAGTTGAACGTAAGGCATGTGCATTTATGATGCTGAATGGAAGTGGTTTTGCAAAATAAACAAATACTTAAATAATGATATTACTTTACTACAATATGCTGTAACTTACACAAAAATCCTTGATTACTTCACTACTTATACTAGCGATGGTAAATTACTCCCAACGAAGCGAGAAAAATTGTTCAATTGTAGAGTGGTTTTGCGAAGGATTTGACGCAATCTTTGCACAGGCATTCAAGACCAAACTTTAAAAGGTATAAGCGAATTGGGAAGAGGAGATCAGTGGTGATTTTCAATCGTCGCCACTGAACCCTCAAGATCAGAGAAAATGTGACTTTGGTGTGGAACTACATGCTCCTCTATGCAAGCACATGCTTCAACAAAAACGTGGAGGCATTTAACTAAAATTTACCTGTACATCGACTTCCTGAATTTGCTCTTAAGTAATCGCATTGGGCGCGGAGGCACTGCTGCATTGCCCAATTTAGCATACAGTTCATTCTGTTTGTAGTCAACACAATGGGCCATTAATTATGAACGCTTTCAGCAAAGAGGGGAAAAGCAATTAGGACTAACATTTTCCAGAAGATCTTCCTCGTCAACGAACTCCGATGTACACTTAGTCTTGCGCAACTTTAGCGACTTCTCGATGTACTTTCTCGCCTAGATGAAAATAATGAAAAAGAGTGAACGAATTGAAAAAGGTCTCTCAATAACATCGTATGGAAAGACAAAACGCTTGAAACCTACAGCGAGACGCTCCTCGTTGTCACAGCGAGCACCATTCCATTGGGTCATTCTAATGCCCTCGTCGAAGATAAAGACATCATTGGAGTTGAGAGAGTGACGCGAAACGGGTACCTCAGTCACCTCCATACGTTTCTTGTTACGAGTCAACGCGAAACGAAGTAGACGTTTTTGGTATTTTTGAGGGTTTTCGGGATCAAACAGAGATCCCACGTTGCCCGAAAGAACACTGGAAATAGGAAGTTGCATGTCTCACCCTCTGCTTGAATGTATCGAAGCAATAAGGATGCAGTCTACTGAGACAGCTGTGGTTGACAGAAGTCCATCCCACATCGTTGCAGTAAACACATCCACTCTAGGAATGCAAGGCTACGGAAACATTTCCTTTATATCGTCCCCAAGTGGCTCCGATTTCACAGTTGACATCACTTAATTATTCATAATGGGAAGAAAATTACTTCAGCACTCCAATTCCAACGTGTTAGTGTCGAAAATAACGCGAATTGGCAAAACAAAAGGTGAGGCTCTTAGTCCATCGCACTGATTTTGTAAAAGTTTTCTAAATATGCGACCGATTTTGTGACTACAATTCATTTCGGATATTCACAAAATTATGCGGAACAACATCCAAATCATTCCCTATGCTTTCTTTAAGGTGTTGATTTCTGTAGCGAAAGGACGACAACCATCCCCTTTATGAAGCACTCTCATAACAAACAACTTTACGACTTGATAGGAAAGTCTCCTTTGCCTTTTCAGCGGTGAGTATCACCACCAAGCTACCAAAATAGTCATAATCGCAAACCTTCCTTCACCTTGCCACACATGATTTGCACCATCCCCTGCAGTTCAGTTGGCAAGGCAACAGCACTCATGGGTGAGATGTTAAAGCGAACAATTTCGCAATCAGATAACACGACTAGGAGTATATGTAAGAGAGCTTTTTTGCTTGACTTGGTGCATTATAAGAAGACCTTAATTGTAGTTGCTCGTTCGTGTACAATTTGTGCCTCAAGTTAGTGATAATGAAATAAAGTAGACAGTGCGCAAGTCGTAAAATAAGAAAGTGCTAAGTAATTTCATTTAGGCTCACAAGGCTTGTGCAAATTCACTTATTGCACTAGTTTTTCTGATGCATACTAGTAACTACAAGATGGTGCAATTGCTGGTGGGAATGGCGATTGGTCAGAGCCAAGTTTGAGATGTGGTATGAACAGGTTTCAATTAAACACCGCTATTGATCAAATGTGACACAAGTGACATATTGACGGCTGCATCTCCCCATTTCTCTCACGCAAACACAATAGGTGGCGATTCACTGTGTATGTGTGTGCTCATTCCTTGGCAAACACACAAACCGATGGAGAAGACGCTGTTTTCTCTGTACGTGTGCAGGTGCGCATCTGTGAAGTGGCTCTTCAGCCAGCTGCGAATCTAGCGACACGCTCAAGTGGCGTGCCAGATAGACCACCTTCTACCCCGCTGCACACAGACTGTGTGCTTAGTGACTTACCCAAATTCCTTAAAGTAAGACTTGAATCGTGGTGATTCGAACTCGCCGATTTCCCGGTGTATGATTAGATTGTCGTCCAGCAGAGACATCACTTGAGCCACCTTTTCTGGAGGATCTGAAGATATTTTCTAGGAGAGGAGTATAGGCTTAACAAGGATGTATCACGTTTCGGATGAGACACAGGTCAAATGGTGCAGAATTCTGACTCACTTGGGCAGCACTGAGACCAACCCAAAAGTGCAAATCATAGACGAGCTTTCTGTTGTGATTGGACGTCTTCAATACGACGTACTTTTCGTCGCTCATAAAGAAACCCACTTGCTCCTCTGGAAGTGGGATAGCAGGTCCTTTATCCTACAAAAATTACTGAACTTTGAGGTATCGTCTCATTATTTTTATTAATAAGAATACTGCTTCTGATCCTCGCATCATAGTCAAAGTTTACGAATTCAACTAACAAAGTGATATGAGCTTAATAGCACTTCAATTGTAACGCTGTGTGCTTGAGTTAGTCCCACCATCCAAAGCAAAATACCCTTGAGATGATTGTAATGAGTTGGTATTCATTGTATTGCTTCCACTTAAACAGAAACGACAAGCAGTGCTTCACTTTGAAGCACTTGTTTTAATAACCACAACAAAAAGGTGAGAAAGAGGAAATAGCGTAAACTAAGTCTTGAGATAAGTTTCTCGAAGATATCGACATAATTAGAGGAGGAAAAGAAAAAGAGAAATTTTTTGATTTTATAAGCCATTTCAGCTGAACATTAGTTGGTTACTGTCAAACTTACCGGAAGTCGCCAAACTTTGAGCACTTCAGAATTGATTTCAAGAATGGACTTCCATTCGGGATCATCCATGGCAGTTGATTCTGTAAAAAGCGCCGAGTTGTTAGGCAAATGTAGAGGAATGGTGCCCAAACATTATCAACCTACTCCTATTTTCTTTGACAGAGGCAGAATCTTGCTTTGACAACTTTCTTGCAAAGAGAGCCATTTTGAGGCAGTGAAGTTCGGGAGGAACGCGAGACACCGTGGAAGGAATTTGTGAACAATGCTTTTAAAGGTGCTTGGCGTTGTGAGCACACCTCGAACCAACCAATTGGAAGGCGCGGTGCTGATGCACAGACGCACAGAACTTTCGATTGACGCTGTTTGTGTGATAGAGACGGTCACAAACTATTTTACTACATTTCGTTAAAAGTTGCTGCGCACAGGAATTTTGGAGTGAGCTAAGCTGCTGGAATTGAATCCATCTCGTGCAAAATGGTCGGCGCTCCTCTGTAGCAGTATTTACTCGAAAAGAAAATTACCTAATCGCATTGCAGCGGTTTTAGTCTGGCAGCTTTTAAGAAGATTGCAGTGGTTTTCACTGTCATATGCAACAAATCACCCCTTGAGCAGATCGTAACGGTGCATTTGTGGCTTAGTTTCAAGAAATAGCTTCGGAGCACAATTCATTTCCTTAAAACTCATATCCAACTTTTATGACAAGCCTCTAACTCTGAACTGCGACATGACGCCTAAAACATGCATTCGTTATGTTTTTGGAAGCAGTATAATCTCATACAATAAAAATGAATTGTGACTGTGACTCACGCGGAAGTGGTGCGATTACTCAAAGAAAACGCAGGATGAGAAGTCTGTCAAAGGTGCGTTTTGAGGGGCTGAGAAAATGCTAAATAGAGCGAGAAATGCTTACATGGAGGACGTACTCTTGCTCAGATTCGGCAACCTCAAAGAGACTTTCGGTCATGTTTGATCAGCGTTTTATCATGAGACCTGTCATAGCTCTCCTTCTTTTCACGATCTGCACTTACAGTGTCTTCGTGGGTTGAAGTTGGGAGAATCAACTTACGGGAGCACTTACTTACTGACTTCCTTACACTAGATTTCTCACATACTCGACACTTCTACAAAAGTAATAATGCTTGAGACAGCACTCAATGTTGAAGTTAAGCAACTGAGGTTGAATGTCGAAGGCTGTCTACTAGGACATGGTCAGCTCCCTTTAATGCTCTGGATTGTTGTGTTTATTAAAGCTCGAAAGAAGCACACAATGCCCAAGTCGAAAAAAACATGGAGCGTGGAAACCTAAGTTGGCGCACTGTGAGAATTTCACAAATAGTCGGTTTCTACACACACCCCACGGGTGCCACATAAAACGCTAAAAGGGATCCAAACAAAATTCACTTGATTACGCATGGCAAGCCTACTGTGCTGGCGGATTTGGCAAGAACGGATGCACGTTCCTTGTAAAAATGTTATTGCAGCACCTGTTGATGGTAGACTTGAGATTCACACAGGGTGAAACTGATCGCCATGTGAAACATCCAAAAGTCTTGAGCCGTCGCTTTTATCATCTGATGGATGCGCGCTGCCTTTACCTGTCAGCGAAAGGCAAAAAGAGCAGGGCATGTGCACTACTGCACAGCGATTTCGCCGCTATACTACAAGTCCACAGTATCGCAAATGCATCATGAACTCCAAACAACCAAGCCATGAAACATTTAACTTAATAATGGCTAAGTAATTGCGGTTACACGACTGCAAGTAAAATAAAAAGAGTGAATAAAGTAAGCAATCAAGTGATGTTCTTTGATACCGAAAACTGCACCGAATCAGGTTTGGCGCTTCATTCAAAGTTGACAGAGGACATTTTAAATGAGTTTTATGCTACACTACCATAATACCCCTGTTGAGAGATGTGACTCTCCGTAGTGCAGGTCACTGGGAGCACATAAACAGTTACACATTTCGGCCATGATTGATTAGCAGCAGCAAAATTTGGTTTAATGAAAGTAGAAGGTACACACTGATGGGATGTTTTACCTCACCAATGGGTTACCTATGTAATGAGCAGAGCTTAAAGGTTAAGAAAAACAAAGGGAATACTCAGCACAGGTAAGATGTTTATTTAAAAAATTGACCGTTCACAGAACTTTGCTCATTCTAAGGCAGAAACCAACAAAAATCAAGTCGTTAATTAGCTACTGATTTGTATAAAGTAGAGCAGCTAAAACTTAAAGTTTTATCAGATATTGCTTAATTTATCACTTGCCCTTCAAAATTAATTAGTGCAAAGCATTCCGAAGCGATGTTTTGCCGGCTTGCCTGCAAAAAATGGATTCAAATTTGTCAATAGAAAAGTAGCTTTTGTTAGTAAGATTTTGGATTCATCCTTCACACTTTTCCGCTATATTTTGCTTTAAAAATGTATCGAGATTATTCAAAGTTTGTGATTAGATCTTAAATCACACCAACTTCCGGGTTTCCTCGAGACTTGAACAAAGTCGGAACCACTGGCACGACGGAGACCGTGTTGTGCTACGAAAACACAATAGCGAAATCTTATGCCCTCGTAAGCCACAACTAAATCAACATGATACCATAGCCGCATTTCCCTTCCTTTATTTCTTATCTACAACACGCCCTTTAAGCAACTTACTGCCCTAACCATCATGACCTAGGCAACGACGTCAACTACGTCATTTGTCGAATTCTCATTCGACCGGAGAGATCCTTGCTCACGGTCCTGATAGCGCCAATTCCTTCCGCATTTCTAGTGGATCCATGGTCTCGTCCTATGCGTGGTTATGCCTGTGGGAAAGAGGAGTGTGTTCCACATTGCATTAATTCATCGCTAGTCAGAAGACAACTGATCTAAATTTGATCAGTCAAAGATAGTGTTGCGCGTCTATTTCTTTCCACTGCTTTGTTTTCTCTTCAGTGCTGCCCTACAATATGCCTACACGTATTCCATACATTTGTTTGGGTAGAGGAGGCATTGCGCGTGTGTTTAATTGGCATCTTCGCACAGGCACTGCCTGATGTCGCTAGTTTCAGCATCAGATGCATTATCAATGCAGAGCAGAGTAGAGCGCGGTCGGTCGAATGGCCCAAGGAACGTGCGCTTCAGGGAACGTACAAAGAGAGAAAAAGCTAGAATGTCGAACCAACGCACTTCTGACTTTGAAGCTGGCGCCAAGGATATCGGAATTTATTCGTGCGAACTCAAGAACCGTGGCCTCTCGAACTTTTCTCTTGGTGGCAGTAAATTTGTTAACATCGAGGTATTGCTATGACCACCTAGTCAAAGATTTAAAGAGAAAATGAATTAGGCCACAAATGTGTGTGTTTAAACAACTTACTCATATAAGCTCAACAAACATTCCGAAACACTTTCTTCTGAAATGTGAACTGAAATTTTTGTCGGTCTGATGTTGGCTTTATCGCGAAGAGTAGGCAGCAGCACTTACTCGTGTAAATTGAGAATCTGCAAAGATGCAAATCATTGACTAGAAGAAATCTGCGCACTACTGCTCTCATCAGGACTGTAATTGCATCGTCCTAAGACGTCTCATCAGGCAAAGGAAAACATCGAGTAGGGTTACCTACATGCATTCAGGGAGAAGAGGAAGGCAAAGTGGTTGGGCTTTGGCCTGGCCCGAGGGCAGGCCCACGTGGCAAGGGCAAGGAGGATACCAAAGTGGCCACCAGTCATACAGGCAGCCGACATAACAAGATATTATCGTAGTCATGTTTGGATCTGGCTAGGCCACGTTTTACCCAGAAATTGGAGGTTCAAGCACAAAAGTGAGGTATCATTTTCGAAAATCTGAAGGAAGAGCCTTACTGTTTCTAGTATGGTCAAGAAGTTAGGGGTAATTAACGTCAAAGCAATGTGCTGTATTGTAACACATAAGTGGTTGTAAACACATTTTCTCACTTGGTTCCGTCGTCCTACCTCTCACCTTGAAGTGAGCGCGTGCGTTTGCGCTCCTTAAGCCTGATTGGTTAGGGCGGTCTGTTCAAACAGTACGACAAATGATTTAAGGTTGAATTTTTTAGGCATTTTAACTAATAAAAGGTTCTTATACCTCAAACTGGCCTTTTGGAAGGATATCCATCAGCCTGTCATCTCTGCCTATGGTGAAAGTTGAAACAAAACTCTTCAAGTTTCCTTGTTCCAGACCGGTGAGTTGGTAGGATTGCCCTTGTGAAATCGCCAAAAGTTTGTTACGACTCTTTATTAACAGCCCGACTACAGGGATATTTTGTCTCGATCATTAGCAATCATGCAAATTCGGTTTAAGAATTGGACAGTCTTCTTTACGTACCGGTTGAGGATCGACTGAAACACGTTTTGTTGAATAACTAATGGCAGAGGGTCTGAAATATTTAGGTGTAAGTCGCCATCCATTAAGTAAATTCTTTTCGCTGATTAATTTTGAATAATTAAAGTTTAATGCTCAACACAGTAATAATCTGGTATATTAGTTTGAATGTTATAAAATTTGCTTAAGCTTGTAAAATAAAGCGGGTTTCAAGTCATCCTCTGATTGCACGGACCTGGAATGCTTTTCGTGCGTCACCAAGTCGGTTGACTAGGTGTTTAAGGCGATGAGGTTGTAAATACACAAACACAACCATGGCACCAAATGCTATCTCTTGTAAATGATTAGAGTTGGTCATTATGGAGTCGCGAATTTGTATGCAATTTGCTTATTCTACCATCGCAACTTTATTTCACATCTTAATCTGAGAAAGCTGCCAGTCGTATTAAAACAAACCACAAAAGCTATCTGGGCTTCCATAAAAACAATATTTAGAACTAATGACGCAAGACATCTGCGTTCACAGGTTCCGACAAATCGCCTTCAGCGTCTCATTTTTAGTCGGCGTCCTATACAGACTCACATTGATAAGGTAGGAGACATGGCCAGTGCCATAATGGCTCTTGCAGAAAAGCAACTCGTCTACATTGATGTTATGGAATACATGATATTTCGCACGCAACAGAGGCTGTGATAGTAATTGACTTTGGTGTTTCATCCTTAACTTCATTATTTGTGTACCAAATACAATACACATACGAAGTTATTTCAGCAACAGTGTTGACCTCCTTTCTGCCTTTAACAGAGATAGGCTAAGTGACTTTGTCCCTCCAGATTAAGTGTCGTGACAAAGGTTGGTCCTGGGTGGTGTTGGTCGCCTCATTTTTCACGCAACTGCTCTGCGACGGGAGTGTCAGCGCCTATGGCGTCGTCTATGCTGGCGTCTCCAACGATACATACTTCATGAGAGCCAACTATACCGAGCAGCAATTGGCCCTTCCTGGTGCAATTCAGTCCTGTCTCTATGTCACTGCAAGTAAGCTGAGGAAAGATGACTTTGCTTCATTGGCTCCACGCCTCCAGATCCATGAAAAGCGTTGTAGTGATAAATTTGAGCAAGCAAGCTAACACTTTCTTCTCCCTCAGAAGAAAATTGGTCCCTTCAGCCAGGTGTTCCAGTCAGTAGTGGCATCGCATTGACCACTGTGCAAAGGCTGAGTGCTGCTTTTTCTATGTTTTGATCTTGACCGAGGAATTTGCCTCTCCCACAAGAAAAACTAATAGAAAAATGACGCAAGTTTGTGATCTGTGGACTTGCAATAAAAATGGTTAATTACACATGGATGTGACGGTGGCAGTGTTGGGACATCTTTACGATTATTCTTTGTATCTTGCGTCAAGACCACAAAAGGAATATAATGTGATGTGCAAGTTTCATTACCTTAAAGCATAGCTTTGTGGAACGCGACCATAATTGGTTGAATTGCAGTTTTATGCTAGTGAGTGTCGGCATCGAGACACTTGAAAGTTCCGCCTGCATGTGCCCAGCGTGCGATGCAGTGGCTGCAGGCCTCGAATCATGGCTGACACTGGAACTCGCTGATGACAGCTACCAACTCAAAACCTATTTCCACATCTGCTGTGAGCGTGGGTAGCGGTGATCGCTGCAAATTTTATTTATTTGGGTTATTTTGAAGAGTGAACAAAAAACCAAACCATTTGTCAATCAGAGGAATTTGAACAGATTCTTTGTAAGTCATGGAGAATCGACAAGCACATTGCACTACTTCAAAACCGGTGGCTGATTCCAATGAGATACGGTATTTGCATTTCAGATGCACTCTTTGTACCCATCGTGCGGTAATTTTTTTCTAGATTTCATCCGATAGCTGCGCATTAACTGGTTAAATGTGAATGTATTCTATTGTTTTCAAAACCATTTGGAGCTAACTTTGTGGGATAGTCGGCAAAATACGCAACTTATGTTGTAAAAATTTGCATGCCCAATAGTCCACATCGAATCAGACTAGCAAAGTTGCAGTCATTCAGTATTGGTGAGTTTCATGAGTACTTCAAACTGCGTGGTGAGTAGCCACAAACAAATATCGGTGTTGACGATAAAAGATGCGATTTCCATGCAATTCCTTGAACATAGAAAAGGCAAATCTTAGGGAAAAAGTGCATTATCAATGAACAGTAGGGAACAGACTGCTGGTGTGGTCTGCTGAATAGGCCTTGTCGGTCTTTGAACGGAGAAAGGTATCGCCCAGCATGAATTACCATAACGTAGTCGGTGCTGTAGGAACCGACAGCGCCAGTCATCGAAATTGAACATAACCAAGAAGAGGCCCGACCAAACAATCACTGTTACCCTTAAAGCTTTTACTGGGTCTGAAGTTGCGCCCTGTGTATCAACTACAAACACAGCAGTTAATGATATCTGCTCATTGCTTTCGACTTAACGGAGTGTTGTCATCCTTTCGTGAACAAAAAACTTGTGCCAATTTTAGTGGGTCTTGCAAGTTTGATGGTTAATATGATGGGCTTCCAGTGGGTCGCTTGCGTCGGAAGCCTGCTGGGTGGACTTTCAATGGTGGCGGCAACTTTCTTCACAAACATTTCTGGCATGGTCATCTTCTACGGAGTGCTCTCTGGTATGTTGAAGGGCCGTTGAGTCGCTGAAACTTTGCTCACTTGTGACGTTTACGAGGTAGTGTTGAATTGTATTTTCGAAAAATCAAGTCAGTGTGGAAGGTTATTGGTTTACATTTTCAAAGGAAAACTCAATGGCTATCACTAAGGCCATTAAAAGACAGCATGACCATCTTCCGAGACACTTCATTCAAGGGTGCAGTGATATGATTTGAGGGTTGATATTCTTTAAAAATGGAGTAGGCCCCAGGAAGACAAAATGAAGCCAGACAAGGAGACAGCAAATGCATTGCCAATGTAGAGAAGAGTAGAGTGTGGTTGACTGGCCTGACCTAAGGGGCATGCGATTAAGAGAACGTACATAGTCGAAAACTTGCGTGCCCAGGTAACCAAAAAAAGGAGAGTAAGTTATCAATGTCTTCTTTAACCAAAGCATACTTTAATCGCACTCCCATTGTTAAAAAGGTGTGAAATAAAATTGCACCACAACAGTGTAAACTAAATTATCAACAAAGGCGCTGTAAAGCATGCGAACCTGGAATTAGCGGCATCATTGCAGGGAGTATAGGAACAGTGGGTATGAGGATCATTAACACGGGACCTCATCAATAGTCAGGTCAAATTTTAAGTCATTATGCCATTATAAATTTAGGCCTAGGTCTTGGATCGGCGTTTATTTGCGCCGTAGTCGCAGTGACGTACTACTTTGACCGCTATCGGGGAGTGGCCTCTGGCGTTGCGTCTGCGGGCACAGGGATAGGCTACATCGTGATTCCTCTGGTGCTCAACTCCCTAATAGCTCGTTTTGACACACCTGTGGGCTGGAGATACGCCGTCTTAGTCCACTCCCTCATCTTGACTGGCATTACCTTTGTGAACGGTTTGATTCTCCGTCCAATAGAAGTGGAGGCGGCGACGCTAGAGGAGATTCTTGACATAGAGAACGTAAACGCCAATTCCACTAATAATCTCAGCGAGACCTCTAGGGCTGGCTTGGAAACTATCAGAGAGTCGGAAGTTTTGGGATTTACGGTGCGTTTACTATGATTAACCTGCACTCATTTGTGCCTTCTTCATGAAGTCATTTTGATTTATTCTCACAGTCACAAACAAACAACTCATCACATCCGCTGCAAGTGCAATCGGCAGAACTTTTTGCCTCTGATCCAACCATTTCTGGAAGCCAAGTAGAGGAGAGTGAGCACGCCGAATTCAGCGGATTGTGGGGCAGAATCGTGACCAAGGAAGGAAATGCTGGGAGCCGAATATTGGCTGAAAAAATCCGTTCGAATGGTCTGTTGCTTTGAATTGATGAAAATGCGAGCCAAAGTAAAGTTAAGAGAAAATACAATTACAAGCTTTATTTAAACAATTGCCTTTATACATATTCTAAGTATGCTGCAGCGATACAATTAAAAACAATTATCTTTGAAGTTTTACTTATGCTAGATGCTCGGCGTCTATGACTAGGCAATCCCTAAGAATTTTATTTGAAACTATAAGGTTGTCGGAGGAAATAAAGAACCTCTTGTGCAGTGCAATCAAATATAAAAGTCTGACATTGTTCACGTACCCCTCAAAGCCTTAAACACAAATGCATGCATAATTATGAAAACATTAATGTATTTTATGCAACTGCAGCATGAGGTTTCAAAATAAGGTAAACCACAAAACTCTTCGCAGCGACGCTTCTTTTGATTATCTACCACAACATTTGATAGTAAATGGTCGGTCTTGTAAAATTTACGCCCACGAACCGGCAGCACTACTCGTTGCCTTTGCGTGCAATTAGGAGGGCACTTGACCTTAATGCTACTGACTTCTCCCGATGACTCCACTGGATCAAAATGTTTACCTCGTATGGAAATAGCATTGAGGATGAGGGAGCATTGTGATCACCATCCCATGTGGTGACATTGGCCCTAAAAGCCGAGTTGCAATAAGGGACAGCACTGCGTGTAGCCCATTGCGAGAGGTGGGGAGGAGCAGGAGAGGAGGGAGGGTTAAACGCCCGTTTTGCGCTGTGGTTCTTATCACGCTTCGGTTCTATTTGAACTACATTTAGCTGGCTGCTATCCAGAGGCAAAAGGAATGTCGCGTTTTTCACATATTTGAAGTCATTGTAGAGGTGCAGTAGACAGCCCTTTTCCAAACTTTTCCGGAAGGTTGACTTGCCAGTAGTGTTCCAAGGGAAAGAGTGATTAGGACAGTTACAGACAGAGTAGGCACTTCTGCCACCCTAGTATATATCACTTGTCAGCGGGGTACGGGCTGTGTAACTTCTTGGTTAGATTTGCTTTCCACTGCCATTAACGCAGACTTCTTCGACGAATGTTTATCCTATCCTCCAACGGAAACGACAAGACTTTTAACTGTTCTGCTTTTACAACTAACATTTGAGATGACTTTTAAGCTCTTCATTGAAAGTTCCAATAGGGGGTGATGCTTGTGACAAGTTTACATTGTCAAGCGGGATTAGGTTTGCCGGTTGGAATAAATGTTAAAAGTCTATCTAAAAGACTGATGAAATTATGCTGTTTTCATGTTTTCTCAAAGCTCTGAACAATCACCACAGAGGAGGAGACATTCTCAAGAGCACTCCCGATGGCCTGAGCCACCTTCAATTAGAGCCGAGCTACCTTCACTTAAAAGTTCCCTTTCTTCCGACGACCGCAATTGCAAAGCCTCTCGATCGTCCAGACAGTTTATTTTTCTCTAGCCTCCACCTTCTTCCTTCTCTAGACCGTAGCATCTCAAACCTTCACATGGATGTGAGCACTCACTTCCAATTGCTGGAGAAAAGAGCAGCTTTTGTTGGCGAGTCGATTCTTCTGAGCACCATCTCATTGACGGGTGCTTCCATGAAGTGTAACGCCGGAAAAACTCTAGCCTCATTACGACGCCGCCTTACGCATGTATTTGACCTCAGTCTATTCACCAATTTCTCTTTCCTTGTCCTCTGTTCTTCCTTTGTGGTCTGCCAACTGGCGTACTTTGTGCCATTTGTGTACTTTTTTACCTTTGCTCTGAATGCAGGACTCACTCGCAGCAGTACCATGTGGCTCATTACGATTTTGGGCATCCTGCATACACTGGGTCGGCTTGTTGGGGGTGCGTTGGCTAATTTCCTCCGAGTAGATATAGTCATTGTCACCGCGGTCTCGTGCCTTCTTTGCGCAGCGTGCCATTTCGCTTTACCTTTCCTACCCAACGATTTCATCACGCTGGCGATTTATTCCGGCTTGTTTGGCTTCCTTTGTGGTAGGTTTAAGTCTTTGATTTTGGTGCCTATTTTGCTGATAAGTCACATTTAAAATCGCTATAGAGAGCGGCTTTTATGAAAGTCAGCTTAATTAACTCATTCCCTCGCCCCTCAACAAAAATTGACGGTGATGATTCGTCGGCTCGTCAACTGCTCCCCCATCTTTTGATCCCTCTAATAAGAGCTCAGGATTAATCTTGAGCACCTTTTGATATGATAATTCATAAGTCTCATATGCGCTCCCTGGAGTAACACAGTTCGGACTTCTCAAAGAACATCCATGCAATAATTATAAATTCAGATTAATTTCTTAAGAATTCGTCTGTGCTGATTATGATAAAAGGGGGAAAAGCTAAAATTCATGATGTCATGAAATTGACCATGGAATGCAAAAACCGTTGCCTGGATCGGGAAAGAGAGAAGCGAAAAATCCTCGTTTGTGATGTAGTCACCCCTGTCAAAGCAAAAATTCAGTCTTTCCGATATTCTTGTAGTAAGTTGAGTTTGTTTGTATAAAGTAGGAGGGACATAGTGCGATCCCAATCGACGTTCGCCATTTGGTTTCGTCACAGCCACGACTGTTGTACTCCAAGGGTAATTTCTAGAAGTTAGGGAAGCCTGAAGTTGTTTTATTGCTACTCATAACTGCATCAGCCTTTTGTCGACTGAAAACACGATTGATTTTTAATTCTTGGAGCATCAGTGCTATGGTGAATAAGCCTGAGGATGGAAGGGGACAGAAGAGCGTGAGGTCGGCGGTACAATTGCAAAGTTTCCAAACTGCCTGTTAGCAAAAGCATTAGTTAAACAAGCACTGATGTTGCAAGAGAGCGTATAGTTGTAAGACTTATAAGCAACATTTTGGAGTTGAATCCAGGACAAGATTCGTTGAGCAATTGTTTCTACTCCTATGGCAGATTTCGACAACGACAGAGTTTGATTGTTGGTTAACTGCTCGCCAAGCAGAGAATTGCCTTGTTTTGCATGTTGAGAAATGAGTATTTAGTAGTCATTGTGCCAGTTCCGTAGGATTTCAGTACTTACGAATTGGCCTACTTTGAACTTGGGGTTGATCGCCTGAAATGACTTAACCATCTGTAGCAGGGACGAGGCAAACAGGAGTCCCATTGAAAAGCCTTTTTGCTTATTTTGATTTGCTGCACTATTGCCGAAGCGTCAACGTTTCACATCGCTGCTACAGGTAGACCTTTATGCTTCCAAGCCTAGTTTGAAGTTCCTCTGATCGAAGACTTTCTCCCCTCCCCCCCTCCCCCCCCATGACTACACATGCTTTGGTGCGCTATTGAAGTTCCCGTATTGGGTCAACACAATGTGAAGTAGGCAGATGAGTCTCCCATCAGTGGCACGAATCACATGGAATTTGTTCAGAAAGTCGCAAACTTTTAAAGCCTTTTCATCATTCTTATAGCAAAAACGCTTCCAAGACCTAATTCAGTTCTTCATTTATAAACACAACACAACAAAACACATTTTAAATACCTTTCTACGGATTTACCTCGCTCGAATTGTTGTATAAAACATCGTCAAGACCTTCTACGATCAGTCCAACCAGCTTAATTGGAAACATTTCAAGTTTGCTTCTTCTGCAAACTTTGGATAAAACTAAGCTTGTACAAATTAATTATATTAAAAATTTTTTGAATAAAATTACAACAATATTTCGTGGAGGAAAAAAACTTTACTAAACGCTGCTTCTTGCTTTAAAGCGGTTCCATGTCCACTGCAACCTCTTCTATTCCTCCGCTTTTTGGGCCTCTCCAGGCTCACCATGGCAGTGGGTAACTCCACCATCATCAAGGGCATCGCAGCAGGCATCGGACCCATCGTAGCAGGTAGAGGCACGATTACATTGCTTGTAACAAATCGCTTACAACTATCAATGTTCAACTCCTTATTTAGCTTACATTAAGGACTCTACTGGAAGCCTTGATGGTGCTTTCTACTGGTGCAGCAGCTGCCTTGCCTTGTCTGGGCTCCTCCTGTTCCTCCTCTACTTGCCATGCGGGAGCGTACATGGTCGGCATGGTCTGGCGAATGAAGATGTGGACTAAAGTTGCAGCACACTTCGTGCTTCCATTCGCGATATTTTTACACAATTGTGCCACTCTTCTCCGCTTTCACAATTCCAATTTGAAACAGAGATTATGTGGATGGTTTTATGGCACTGCTGTCTGAGTAGAAGATTGGCACTCGATCCTTTGGATCGAACATTTTGCTGCCTTCTCAACAAAAGCTTCCTAGTGTAGTCTAAAGTGGTATGCTGGACAGAATTAGTGTAAAACTGGCGTAAATATCCAGTTTTTGCTGCAGTGACGCAGCATGTACGCCAGCCATTTGAGTGCAGCCTTTCCTAGGCATCGAGATGGGCGTGGGATCGTTTGAAAGTCATACGTAAATGGTGGGGTGTGCAACCACGTCATGAATGCTTTTAATGTGGGAAGGTCTATAATCATTTTCCAACTTTACTTAAAAACATAACATTACCAGCATCTGGACACCATTATTTTGTCCTTTCCTTCATTTACATTTTTTTGGCCCGTTTAGCTGATTCTTGCGAACTCATTAAAGCTTTAATACTGAGGAGCTTGATAGCATTACAATTGTCGCATCCTACGTGCGACAAAAGGTGCTACGAAGGATTCGGAATTGTGTCGATTTGTCGCTTAAAAAGCTTCTTCATCTTATGATTAAATAACGTTTGAAAAGTCGACAAAACATCTCTGAATATTCGCAAACGTGACACCATCAACGAAACACGCTACGTTCCCTTACTTTACCACTGATGGTGGTGAAACAAAAATAGAGAAAACTACTGCACAAGCAAAGGCCCTCAGAAGTAAACATTAGCTACGCAAAATAACTTTTTTTCTGCATTTTAAGCGCACTCATGGCTCATAGGCGGGGTAATGAGATGATTTTCACATTAAAGTTCATAGCTCGAGGACTTGGATGGTACCGAATTGGTTCAATCAAGTGCAGTCATCTCGTTTATTTTTTGACTGCTCTCTTCCTTGAGTACTACCT